TCTACACCCTAAGTTCTAAAGTATAGGAGGCAATTCTTAAACTTCTTTCATAGAGAAAATAAATAAATTCATTCATTCATAAAGATATAATGTAGGATAAATATATATACATATGTTATATGTATAATCAAATATATGTTTGTTCACAAAAAGAGCCCCAAGGTAAAAATGAGGATTAACCCAAGAGGATAAATGGCTAAAAGAAAGAATTTAAGCCAAAACCAGTTTGGCTCAGTGGATAGGGCGTCGGCCTGCGGACTGAAAGGTCCCAGGTTCGATTCTGGTCAAGGGCATGTACCTGGGTTGCGGGCATATCCCCAGTAGGAGATGTGCAGGAGGCAGCTGATCGATGTTTCTCTGTCATCGATGTTTCTAACTCTCTATGTCTCTCCCTTCCTCTCTGTAAAAAATCAATAAAATATTTTTTAAAAAAAAGAATTTAAGTTGACAGCCAAGGTCACAAAGGACAGGTTGGTGGCAATAGAGGCCCCAGAAGCTTCCACTCAACTCCATATACATCTGCCTACCTCATAAATGTGAAGTATGCCACAGCACATCCAGAATGATGGCAAGGCAGATGCCCTTCTTTCTGAGAGGAAGGTCAGAGGGATGTGGGAGGTGCTCTCCAGGAAAGTGACAGGTGGCCTTACTCCTTTTCTCCACTTGACCCCACTTCAGACAAGCTTCTCCCGATTCTAAGCCCCTGACCTCCTCTTCCTTAGAGCGTCTACTTTAGAAAACTTGTCAACTCCTTCTCTGCCTTTTGAAATGGATATACATCTTCACCAAGCCCCTTGCTAGCCTAGATACACAAGCCTAGACACACCTTTCCCAAGGACGTGGACACCATCTCTTTGAAATATTATCATCAATATAGACAGCACTCCTATCTCCCAGTGTTCATAGCGGGGTGGGACCCTAGCTTGCATTGTACAACTACCTCCTTTATGAAGACAAGAGAAAGCTTAGTTTTCCTATGCATAAGGCCAATTAGCAAACACAGATGGCCTATGATCCCATTCACCTCAGCTCTTAAAAACTGTCCAGCTTGGCCAGTGTTGCACAGTGGTTGAGCGACAACCCATGAACCCTCAGGTCACGGTCAGGACACATACCCGGGTTGCAGGCTCGATACCCAGTAGGGTGTGTGCAGGAGACAGAAAATCAATGACTTTCTCTCATCATTGATGTTTCTCTCTTTCTCCCCTTCTCCCTTCCTCTCTGAAATCAATAAAAACATTTTTTAAAAAAACACACTTCTCCAGCATTTTGTTTCAGCAGAATTAAACCAACAGGCATCTCTCTCCTGTTGCAATAGTGTTGAATGAAGTCTTCTTTACCTGTTGAACTTTGGCAAGGTGCCATTTTGCTTCAACAGGCACTTTTCTTATAGATCCAATCTTGTCACTGTTTTTGCTTTGCAGGAAATATTTTCATGCATGAGGTGGTTGCTTTCTCTCTCTCTCTCTCTCTCTCTCTCTCTCTCTCTCTCTCTCCTCGTCCTCCTCCTCTTCCTCCTCCTCCTCCCTCTCTCCCTCTCTCCCTCCTCATGTAATATGCTTGTGCATTTACCCAGGGAAGGGGAAACTCTATCTGGGCAATAAGTATACTCTGAATGACACTTGAGTCTAAATTGCTCAAGCTTTCCTCTGTGACTTCCTGCATGAGAGTCTCACACTCTGTAGATAATGAGTTTTCCTCTTATGGCTCAAAAGCTGCAGTGTTACTTACTTCAGTGTGAAGAGTGTTGTGTTCTGAGTGTGGCTAACCCCTCTGGGAGGGAGGATGGCAGCAATTCTCAGACAAAAAGGACCCAACCCTTCCCTTGTGGCTCATTGAATTGCAAAGCTTCTGTTCCCGCTGAAATTCTAATCGGAAACAATAGCCCCCTAGAAGAAAATGTCCCGACCCTTGCTCATTTTGACCTGCTGCTGATATGGTTCCATGGAGATGCCAACAGGCCGGTGCCTGAGTAAGAGGACCCAGAAACTGGGAAATGCACAGCAGAGGGAAGAAAAAATAGAAAGAGAAACAATGAGCATAGCAGATGGCTCACTGAACAGAAGAGACAATCAAAATATCATAAAAGACAATTTATTCCCAACAAAGTTCCTTCTATCTACACGATGGTAGGGTGTATTTCACACAATAGTTACACTTCTGTTCTCTGAAAATCTATGCTATAATTCACATTTATAGAGCATTTAGTATCTACATACAATTGAATCCTATTCTCGGATTCAAAATATAACATCCCTGCCCTGACCGGTTTGGCTCAGTGGATAGAGTGTCGGCCTGTGGACTGAGGGATCCGGGGTTCGATTCCGGTCAAGGGCATGTACTTTGGTTGTGGGCACATCCCCAGTGGGAGGTGTGCAGGAGGCAGCTGATTGATGTTTCTCTCTCTTCAATGTTTTTAACTCTCTATCTCTCTTCCTTCCTCTCTGTAAAAAATCAATAAAATATATATTTAATATATATATATATATATAACATCCCTATAAAGAAGTTAATAAGCAATATTAAAAGTGTGTGTGGCCCTAAATTATCAAATCCTTTAAAATCCAGGTTACCTAAAGCAAGGTATATTAATGCTATTGGGTGGAGCAGAAGGAAATAGTAGGAAAGAGGAGAGCTAAGCTGATGGCTCCACCCCAAAGAGCAGAGATGTGCCAGAAAGAAAATCTGAAGGAGGGCGTTACCAATAACGCCAAGAAATAAAGCTTCAGGGTAGAAACTGCTTGGCAAGGTAAAAGCAAAAGCAGAGAGAGGCCTCTCCAGAAACAAGAAGGAAAACCTAAGTGAGTTCAAAATCTGTTTTCTCATTAATAAAGGAGTTGCATATAAAGATCATCTTCTTTTAAAATAGCTGGGAGACTAGTGATAGAAAACATATTTATTTGAGTTTTTAGAAGTCATTTTATATTTGAACATTTCTTTTAATTTTTAATTAATTTATTTTTATCATCTGAAATGCATGTTTATTATTTTAAGTGATTTAAAAATCATCTCTATATAGTCATATTAGGTCATCGTTTTTAGGCCAAAAGATGCTGAGAGTTAAAACCAGCTAGACCCACATGCAGTTTTGGACACTGGAAAACCAAACACCTTCACTCACAGAACTGTCTACAGTAATACGACTTTACTGTTCTATTGTCTTCATCAGCATAACTTTATTATTCTGAGTCCCTTGCCCAGGCACATAACTTTATTGCTCATAACAGAAACTTCCTTATTTACAGAAATGTCCAACTCTTCAGTACAATATATCATAGGCAGTTGTGCCCTGTAGCTGTTCTGAACCTCTCTCCCTGAATCCTAGCCTTAACTGTTCAAGCAATGCTAAAACTGCAATATCATGGTCCCTACCCAATTCTAATTAAGCCCTCTTCCTCCCCGCAATGCTCACATTGTAAGATATATCTTAGCTCTAAGCCTATATAATAAAAGCCTAATATGCTAAGTGTCCAGTCATCCAGTCGGCCGTACAGAAACTCACCAGGGCAGAAAGCCCTGGATGCCTAGCAAGGGGCAAAACTGGGGAAACAAGAACCTCACCCCCAGGGTAACCTATCTTCTCCTGGCATATCACTGGTCACGTGGTTTGGACCTCCTGATCTTTCATATCACTGGCCAGGCAGTTTAGACGCCCCCCCCCTTTACCCTTTCCTCCCTAAAGATAACATGTAGGCCTCAGTTGTATCTCAGCTCCAGCCCAGAAAACCAGCAAAACCAGACAAGTGACACCTTGGCTGCCTCAGAATCAGCTACGTTGACTAATGACCCCTGTCCTGGCACTGACCAATCAGTGGAAACCAGGACCCTTGAAGAGCACACCTGGAAAGCTGGCAAATATTCTATGGAGACCCTTCCCTGAGACCTCCCCTAAGATTCCCACCTGCAAGGGAGATAAATATGCTCAAAACAAAGGACCCAGCATGAGCTCTCCCTCCAAGGAGCATGCCCATGCCATTCCCTCCTTCCCTCTCCTCCCCCACAGGCACGTATCCCCCAACTTCTAAGGGGCCCCATGAAATTGCAACCAGGGGAGCAGCAGCAGCCCCTCCTGACCCTGTCTCCAAGGCGCCCTTTTCTCTGACTTCCCAGTGAGCTAAAGCAGCCCAGCCCAGGCTCTCCTGTTGCTTCTGCCATGCCCTTCCTTTTTGCGCTCTCCTAAGTATATTTTTGCTGCGATCGATAAATTATTGCTTGCTTTCCTTTCATTCTCATTGACCTTAAAATATTTTCTGCATTGATAAGAAGAATCCAAGTCCCAGTTGGTAACCCCAATTGATAACACTTTGTTCTGGGATTTCTCCACAAAACGGTATTGTTCTTCGCTGCAAATGCAATAAAAGCCAGAGTTCTAAGCTACTACTTTGCATTATTTATTTTCCCCTGGATCTCTCCCAAGTATACAAGAGATATAAATGTTAATAAACTTTTATTGGCTTTTTCTTGTTAATCTGTCTTTATTATAGGATGCTAAGCCAAGAAAGGATGGGGGGAAATTATTCCCCCTACAGAATCAATGAGAGCAAGGGGACATGTCAGTGCAACTTTAGGGGCTTATAGGTCCCGTTGCCTAACAGTGAGGACCTTCCCTGACAGGCAACACTTTCTGAACCGTCCAGCGAACGCTTCCTCTGCCCATCCTTACGTTGGTAAAATATAGCAGCAACCATTTATTGGTTAAAATGATACCATCAAGAAGGCATACACAAAACTGCTTCATTACAAACACCCTCATTTGAAATCTATTCAATGTCCTTTCTAGGATTTTCTAGTGCTGTGGAGTTGCTGATTGCAGATTATAAAAGTTTATTCTGGATCTAGCCAGTTTGGCTCAGTTTGGTCTGCGTCAGCCTGAAGACCAAAGGGTCCCGGGATGGGTTCTGGTCAAGGGCACTTACCTTGGTTACGGGCTCTTCCTCAGCCCGGGCCCTGGTTGGGCTTGTGCAGGAGCAACCAATCGATGTATTTCTCTCACTTGATTGTTCTCTGTGTCTTTTTGTCTCTCACTCTCCCTAAAAATCAATGGAAAAATATTCTTGGGTGAGGATTAACCAAAACAAAATTATTTGATAAAATAATTTTTGATAAAATTTTTTATAAAAGTTGATCATCTTGTTCCTTAGTATCCTAGAGTACTTTGTATGTCTGAGGGAAGAGGAGAAGAGGTAAAATACCTCCCCTATTTGTTGGTTACATTTTTTTTGCAATAAAAAATAAGAACAAAATGATTGTAGTCACCTAGATTTAACATTTTCTTTTAAATGTTAGTACTAATTTCTTGTTTCCTTTTGCTTTGGTAGTAAGGAAAGAGCTTATGAGGGACCAATTGGTTTCCTTCATAAAGCAAATTAGTTCAAATGAAGAGCATTATTATTTTCATTTATAAAACCCAAAGGAGAAAAAAGATAGAAAAACATTTGGTCCAGTGGTTTGGATACTCAATGGTTGGGGTGATACCATTGTCAAACTAAACCCCTGGGCTGACTCAGTTTTAAGAAGCCAAAATCCATTGGTTGAGGAACCATGAAGAAGCAATAGCACTGACAAGGAATGTTGATGGGTTGCTTGGTATATTTTGTAACCAATCTGTTCACACATAGGTTTCTATATAGCTGACTCCAGAAAATTCACATCCTAATTCTACTTAGCATTTAGTCTATTCCTCCTCTCAATCATGCCAGCTTTGTCTTAGGGAAGTTTAAATAAAGTGTTTTAGTGTGGAAACAAATGGAAGAACTTACAATAAAATTCTAACACATTACTGGAGGAAAAGAGATGGGCAAAGGATCTCTCAGATACATTAAGGGCCATTAGTTTTACTTAGCGCAGAAGTACATTTCAGTTGTCCCTTTTGACGTGACTGTAAGTACCGGAATTTATTAAGACAGCATCAGTAAAAACTGGGACTGGATGTATAAAATTGATATGGTAATTACTCTTACATGGCTTATCATGCCGATAAACATCATAAACACAGGTAGCGTGATGAATTACAAGCATTCTATCACAGGAAAGCTGGCTAGATTAGTTTCATGGGATTATTTAAAATGTGTTGCTCTAATAAAGTGGGAAGAAATATGTGAATAAAAAATTCTCCCCAGAAGCCATTATAAATAATGCATGCAAGATGTTTTAAAAATCGGTACAGCTTTCCATTTAAATTGGGTGTGATTTTTTTTTCCCACTGCACCTCCTTTCTCTCAAATTAGCCTGTGTGCTATGACCACACCAGGTATCCTGAGGTCTGAAGGTCAGTAACACAGTACTGTCTCTATTAATGAAGGGCATGTATTCCTTTAGGTTTCAAAACTTTATCACCAGTGGGGTGGGAAGTCCTAGACTATGCAGGTGCGAAGTCTTAAGTCAACATTTTCCTTGTTAAAGTGGAAACAGTGCTCTATTGAGGGAGCCGCCTGTTCCCAGCACATCTCTATGTCCCCTTCCCCAATCCAAGTCCGGCTTGCTTATTAGCTAGACTGAAACCTTAGTTATGATGGCCTCAGATTTAGAAGAACTCAGTGTACAATCTAATCTTCTAATCCCGCCAGGCGTCATTAAGTCAATCACATGAACGTGTCAAGGTCTCACTTCCTTCACACAAGGAGAGGGATAGTATCTTTCAACTCTGGTGACCCACAATTCATACTGGAAATAAGATTGCAGATATCCTTACCGACACAGTGAAGATAATTTATTACAGGGAGAACTGCACTTGATTGCAGCTTCCCGCTGTTGCACTAACAAAACCAAAGTGTATGAAGAGGAAAAACCTCATCCTTTTTCCTCTTTCACCTTCAGTCCAGGAGTTGGGGGGTCTGAAAATTAATGACAACAGGCAGATTAACAGGAGGAAACAGGAGGTTTATGTGCACGTGCCCAGGGGAGTTGATCCACAGGAGTATGTTTTGAAGTAGCCCTAGGTAAAGGTATACATGTCAACTTAACATAAGAGGATTTGGGGGCCTCCAAAAGGAGAGTGTGGAAGATTCTGTTGTAGATGGTGGGATGATATCATTTGTCTGACTAGGGAGGTCATACCAAACCTGGGTTCAGCAACCTCGGTACTTGGGTTCTGGCTAGGGAAGAATTCAAAGTTCAGACCCAAACTGTAAGAGAACATTTATTGGATAAATTACAGAGGTAGAGAAAGTAATTCCTAGACAGTGGTCGGCAAACTGCGGCTCGCGAGCCACCTGTGGCTCTTTGGCCCCTTGAGTGTGGCTCTTCCTAAGCCTTAGGAGTACCCTAATTAAGTTAATAACAATGTACCTACCTATATAGTTTAAGTTTAAAAAATTTGGCTCTCAAAAGAAATTTCAATTGTTGTACTGTTGATATTTGGCTCTGTTGACTAATGAATTTGCCGATCAGGGTCCTAGGAGAAATGGGCTTAGCAAACAAGTTCTAGGCGTCAAGAAAGGGCCCTTGGAGCTTGGGAGTGAGGAAGCGAATGGTGAAGTGCCTGGGGAGGGGAGAGAAGAGGGAAAGGGAAAAGCACAGGCGTGCTCCCGGAGGGAGAGCAGACCGGGTCCTCCATCCTAAGGATTTTAAGGGCAGAGGTTTTAGGGGTGGTTGCAGGGAAAGATCTTAATAAAATATTCAGCAGTTTTTCAGGTGTGTCTTTTCGGGGTGTAGGTCTCCACTGATTAATTGGCCGACACCAGGGCAGAGGCCCATGAAGCTGGTCCTGAGGCCAACCATGGCTGGTTTTGTTGCTTATCTGGGCCTGGAGCTGAAATACAACTGAGGCCTAAATGTTATCTCTAGGGAAGAAAGGTCACGTGGTCCAAACATTAAGACTATCAATGTGCTATGGGAGGAAAGGGCAGCTAGGGGCCCATGCTCATGTCTGACTAACTGCCTACAGCAATTCTACTGGGGTTTGTTGTGTGTGTGTGTGTGTGTGTGTGCGTGCGTGTGTGTGTGTTTGTGTGTGTTTGTTTTTTGTTTCTTTCTTTGTTTTTAGGTACTAATGAGAATGAGCAGTCTGTTTTCAAGGAAGCTGAATATGCAAGAAATGTCCTTGGGTGGGAATTCATAGCAGTTGTATTAGAATCTCAACTTAGGAAGATAAGATTTTTTTCTGATCTTCTGTAGCTCAAATATTGCCACTTTAACTCTTAGGGCCTGAGTCTGTCTGCACAGCTTTCTTTCCACAGATTCCAATAACTCAATCTTGCATTTATTTTTATTTTCCAGAAGGGCAGTGACCATAAAAATGGCCCACTGCTGGAAGGAATATCTTTTAAAGCTTTTTGCTTGGACTTTTACTTGAATTTAAAAGAGAGACCAACTAGGCTGTATATGTGATTTGAAAATAATTACACAGCTTGCGGCCACATTAAGTTTGGAGAATTTGTTTTGATTCACTTTTAGGAAAAGAGAAAGAGGCCTAAGTTTCTTTTATTAAAATTTATGTATTCTTACATAACTATTTTTCTAGGAAGAAATTTTATACACACACACACACACACACACACACACTGATATTTCCTTTTTAATAATATGTAAGTTATACCACGTTCATTTGTCTTGGTAATATTTTAGGTTTCATCCCTGTGTTTGCAAGGTTGGTGATTTTACCAGTTTAGGTTTATCCTGAGTCACTATAAAACTTAAAGAACAACAAAGACATTTTTCCCACTCACTCTGTCTTCCATTCCTCTAGGCCACAGATGATGTGTTTACAGCCTTTAATATATAGCTCATTTATTTTTATACTGATCAAGGTCACTACTATCTTTTTAATCAATTGGTTGATATATGAAGCTACTTCTAATCTTGTGGAATGATGCAGGAACCAGAGAAACTGACAGATAAAATTTAGGTCTCACTTCAGGACAAAACACAAAAAGAGAACTCAAATGATGACAAGAATTTCAATGAACATAAATAGATTTTCTTTAAGGTATTTTATAAACTCACTATACATGAATGAGCTTATTGTGTGGGGGTGGGGAGGGTCTATAAATGTTTTCAATTCACAAACATCCATTAAATAAACATGAATATATGATCACTAATGACAACACTGACACACAATTAAAAACCTAAGACACGTCCAACACTTGTTAATTCTGAGAATGTAAAATATGACCCATGGTTTCAAGAAGCCTAAAGTCAAGTTTAAATGCAAGATAGATACAGGACAGAAAATACAATGAAAGGAGACAGCCCAAAGTGTGTATTAGTTCCTTGCACAAATCAGTACTCAATGATAATCAAAATGATAGTGGTAATGATCCTAAGTGTCCAATGAGTAGATAAGACATTCTTATAGACATTATAAAATGTCACATGGGCAGTGGCACTATGGCAAGGCTTCATAGTAAAAAAGATAGGAATTAGATCATTGGAAAATGAGGAGAAGAAATTGTGTGTAGGTGGTTGGCATCTAAGCAAAGTCATATAAGAAAATACATTGTATTAGTTGGGCATGAGAAAGCCCATTGCCTAGGAAAACAAAAAAGATAGGGAGATAGATAAGGTCGAGGTTGTAGGATATTTTAAGGCTCTGGTCTCAGTTTGATGTTTATTCTGATTATAGTCGGGAATCATCTGAAGTTCGTGAATAGGAAGGATGACAATGACAAGAGTCATGTTTGGAAGAGCTTGCAATGATACCCTGTTAGACTGAAAAGAGACCAGAAGCAGTATGCCAGTTAGATTATGTACATATGAATTAAGTAATATAATGTTTGAACAAATATTACATATCTTTGAAAGTCACTCTAGAGGAAGAAAAATGTTAATAGATGGTCACTTTCCCCAAAGAGTCAGTTATCTCTCTGAGGGGAGAGATTTACATACAAGAAATAGACATAGAATGATAAATCAGATAAAATATAATAATATATCTAATTAAACTGTGTGCATTATAAGTAAAACAGATCAGAGAAAGAGAACATGGGGAAGGCTTCATGAACAAAGTGAGATTTGAAATTGTTCTGGAGTGACGAGTAAGGTCTAAGTGGCCAAAAAAGGAATGGGGGTGGGGGAGGCGACATTTTGATGGAGACACATCACAAGCAAAAGTATAAAGATATCAATAAGAATAGCATGCGGTTGGAGCAATCAACATAAAGAATGAGTCACTGATAAACCTATATGCATGGGTTAAAGAAGAGTGGATACACAAATTAGTTCTAATGAGATGCCCAAATGGAATGACTAGTATAGATCATTACGTGTCCATTGTCTAATTATTTAATGCCAGGTGCTGCTCCAATATTTTCAGATGTGGGTGTGTTTAGTGCTCACAACAACCAAGTGAAGTTGATATTATCTCCAACATGAAGATGCAGAAACTGAGGCTTGCAAAGCTGAAATTAGAAAACAGGAATTCAGCAAACATACTTGAGCCTCTGCCATGTGCCAGAGTGCCAGTTATTACAGATAGTCTTTGAATTTAGATCGGTTTCACTCACAAGACCCCATAATTCTCTCTACCCCATCCATGTTAGATCTGTCTATTCAGCAAATTGAGTCTCATCATAGAGTTTCGTATTCACTGACTGGCAGGAGGACACCACTGTCAAAATGTCAAGTTCATGCGAGCATCACATCTCCAAGTTGCCTAAAGCAGATTTTCCAGTTTTTTGTTAACATAGTCGTCCCTTTTATCACATCCTTTAAAAAAGTCTTTCTTACCCATAGAAGCAGTTTCTAAAACTGGAGTTATAAATGGGGCCATAAGCCAGTGCTTTGCAATTCAGATGATATCATTAGAAGGCAGCAGCGACATTCTGTCTCAGACCCTTCGTGGGAAGGGTGGCTCACACTCCACGGGATACAAACCCAAGCTGAGACTCCTCAGAAAGAGCACGCCGGTGGGACGATATCACAGAGGTTTCGGGGAGAAAACAATCCCCCATAACATCATCGCAGAGCTATCTGGAGAAAACCATAATGGGCTTAAATGAGATTTAAATTAACTGGATACAAGCTTGCAACGGCAATTATAAGGGCCTTTTAGCTAAAAAAAAATAAGGCCAGAGAATAGCTATGTTTAAAACTTCCTTCCAAAAAGTGGCAGCTCTATACAGATAGATAGGTAGACAAATAGGTAGGCAGGTAGATAGATGATAGATACATAAATAGATAGAGATAGGTGCTGATGTCAAAGCAGCAGAATACACACCCAAAATATGCCACCTTGATATATTGATTATTTTGAGCTGTAGGCACTTGGAAAACAGCAAATGCAGGGAGAGGCTTCCTCTGAACTCCCCTGATCTGTGTAAAGATTGGCCCTTCAACATATACTCAGTTATCATGATTCTCCTTCCTGCTACTTTCATCAACCAGGGAGTATTGATTCTTGTCACAGGAAAGGGGACTAGAAGCCCACACCACACCCAGGCAAGCTCTGTCACAAGCTATCATGCCTCCCACCTATTCTCAGCCTCCATTCATCTTTCCTAAAAGCCATTGCTTCTCCCCAAAGAGACTGACATCTCCCTCCCTTTCCTCATTAAGATGCTATTTCAATCCACATGCTAAGCACCTTGGTGAGTTGCTCATTTTTCCCATTATGTATGAGGCATATATGTTAATCAACTTCTATTTGTTTTTCCCTTGTTTATCTCCCTTTTATTACTGGGGATTCAGCTAAGGACTCAGAAAAAGAGAGAAAAAAATACTTTTCCTCCCCTATAATATCTTTATCTACATAACTACTTCTATAGACAGACACACACACACACACACACACACACACACGTCACTTGCTGCTGATTTGGCTGCAAAAATGATACTTTATAGGAAGATTATTTTAAAAAGCATATAATACCTCATTTCAGCCAAGCCAAATACAAACACAGAATATTAGGCAAAAGACTACTAAGACTAACACACAGTCAGATTATTATTTACTTATTTAATTGAATCTTCAGGGGATGCTTGCCTTCAAACTTCAACGTCAATCAACTTAATGCAGTGGAAAGAATATGGTAACTGGAGTTTAAATGGGATTCCAACAATCACTTACCACTGATGAGTAACAGTAACTGTAGCAAGTTACTTATTATCTTACCCTACATTGTATAATCTACAAAATGGGGTACAACTACTAGGTTTCATGACTTTTATGAATAATAATTGAAATCAAATGAAGTGATTAGTTCAGGGTGTGCAATGAATACCATGCCCACTGACCTTGCCTGTGCTTGTTTTGTCCTTGTCTGTGATTTTTTTGTTTAGGATCCCTAAGAATCAGACCCTGAGATAAGGATTTAGGTGTCAATAGAAATTTTGGAGGTGAAACCTGGAAACATAGGAAAGGGGAGAAGGAAAACAGGGAATGAGGCCTCTAATGACCGTGTTATCAAATGATCATGCTCTGGATAAATGGAGCTCAATCCCACTATGGCAATCTAGTAGAAAAGGTGCAACACATTTTACAATTATCCCAAAGGAGAGGCAAGGAAGCTGGGATGTTTATCCTTCTACACCCCACCTGTCATGGGCTAAAGGATGCTTTCTTGGGCATTGACTGTCTGGCGTTCTGTGGCTTGTCATCTGTGGTAGCCTGTGGTATTCCCCTTGGCCAGAAAAGGAAGGCAGGAAGGCAGGCAAAAAGAAAAAGAAAAAAGAAAGAAAGAAAGAAAGAAAGAAAGAAAGGAAGGAAGGAAGGAAGGAAGGAAGGAAGGAAGGAAGGAAGGAAGGAAGGAAGGGAGGAAGGGAAAGGAATGAAGGAAGAAGACAGTTTTTAGGCACAGAGACTCATGGATGGTCACAGAGCTAAACTTCACAACTGAGGGCGGTGAAAACCAAGAGGATGTACAGGGCAGCACAGCATCTGCTACAGCAGTGGTTCTCAACCCTCTGGCCCTTTAAATACAGTTCCTCATGTTGTGACCCAACCATAAAATTATTTTTGTTGCTACTTCATAACTGTAATGTTGCTACTGTTATGAATTGTCATGTAAATATCTGATATGCAGGATGGTCTTAGGCAACCCCTGTGAAAGGGTCATTCGACCGCCAAAGGGGTCGCGACCCACAGGTTGAGAACCGCTGTGCTAGAGGGACATATAAAAAAAATCCTCTCAAACGCCCCCCTTTCCAAGAATTTGCCAAGATTTGACTCCTCTAAATTCATATGTACAGCAACAATGACAGTTTACTGATTTATCCCAGGCTCTCAGGCCATAGTAGGCATTTAATATCTATTTTCATTTATTTTATAATCTATAACATTTATTCTTCACTTACAAAGAGCCAGGCTCTCTGATAAATGATTGTAGACACATTACTGATATATTATTTCATTTGATCATTACTGTCCTATTATCCCCATTTACTAGAGAAGCAAAAAGGATAAGAGAGGTTAGAAAATATGCTTAAAGCCATGCAATGAATCTGACTCCAAAACCCATATGCTTTAATTGTCATAAATTTACCATAGTAAGCTAACTATTAATATAAGGAAAAAGGCAAAGAGAATCAGATATTGTTGAGTCTAAGGGGCTGGGGAGCATGAGCCTGTTTGCTTTACCACTTCATACACTCCAGGGGAATCACAGCATTGCCCCTCCAAGGATTAACACCCCTCCCTTCCCCCTCCACTACCAGATTGTCAGGAGGGGAGCACATGTGCAATAGAAGTCAAAATGGCAAAGGGGGAGGTGCTTGATCCTAGAGGCCTGTCAGTCTAACCTGGGAAGGGGCTCACTGTTCAGGGGGTGGAGCTGTCAGAAGCCCATGAAAGCTTGGGACATCGATTGGTTGTTTTGAAAAGCTCCTGGTTCTTTCCAAGCTCAAGATAATAAAAACCCATCTTAACAAAAAAGTTCTCTCTCGCTCAGGAACATATGACCATGTCGGCCCAGCAGCCAACTGGGGCCTGCAGCAGGTCCCGCCAGCTCCAAAGGACTAAGCTTTAATATGAAGCAAAAACTCTGGACACTGGCCTTTCTGTTGGCCTCGCTGAAGACAAGATTGGACTTTTTCCGTGGAGGGACAGAGTGAGATGGGACATTGGGAACCCAGGAGGGGCACTCTTTTTATGTTGCATCAAGCACCCAAATGAATCTTGCCACACCACAGTCTCCCATGCATGGGTCCTTGGAATGCTTTCCTCACAATCCTGGGAAAGAACGTGATTTCCATCAGCAACAATATTGCCTTCCTCCCAACTCTCACCCCCTTGCAGACCTTGTTCACGCTCACACCTTGAGCAATCACCTTGTTAGATAACACCAAAATCATAATCGATAGTCCTCCCCCTTTGGATGTCATATGATGCCCTCCAAGGTAAGCTCCCTAAAGTGAAGCCCTTCTCTTCCTGCACAGATTCATTTGTGGATAAATTGTGTCAAGAGAATCAGGCTCAAATCCTCTTAGCCATTCTGTTGCTGTTCACCCTCCAGAGCACCATAATGACAAATGTTTTAATTTATACTACCAATCCTTTAATTGATTCCCTGCTGTGTACCAACAACCCAAAAGACTTGGTCTTAGGAAGAATCCTCTTATAAAGATTTGTATAAGTCTAGATGCTAATCTGGACATAAATATCTTGCAGGAGACAAGAGTTAAGAACCACACATGAGACACAAAAGTGTGAAAAATTGGATGGCACAATTATCAAATTCTCTGCTATCTTTTGTGACTCTTTTTCCTCTGCCTTCATAGGGCCCATTATTTCAGGATAGGCTCCCATCTTAAAAATAATAATATACTTTAATTGCATGTCATGGCTGTTAACTATCATCTTGGACTCATCTATAACAGTAAAAGCATAATATGCAAATTGATCGAATGCCTGAACAGCAGAACGGCCATCCAGACAACCTTCTGGACCACCCACCACATATACACTGGTGCCAGGCCAGCCAAGGCAGGTGAGATGCAATTTGTCGGGGCTCGCCATCATCCAGGCCACCCTTTGTGGGGTGATCAAGACTGGGGGAGCTCTGTGATCAATTTCCCCAAAGAAGGAGGTCCAGGCCACCCAGCTGGCAGCGCTGTGATGGGTGGGCAGGGCCTCCCTCTACAGGGTGATTGATCTGGGGGCCCTGTGATCGATCGCCCCACAGAGGGAGGCCCAGGCCAGCCAAGCAATTACACCCCATGCCTGTCACCAGCAGAGGAAGGTGACTGGTGGCGGGGAAGAGGGGGCAGAAACACACAGATGCCAAGCAGTGGCAGTGGCGGGGGCGAGGCCAGCTGCCAGCAGCCAAGGGAAGGAAAGCTCCAATAGGACCTGATCGCCCACCAGGCTAAGGAACCCTACCTGAGGGGTCCCAGATCGTGAGAGGGTATAGGCCTGGCTGAGGGGCACCACCTCCTCCCTCCTGTGCACAAATTTCATGCACTATGTCTCTAGTTTGTTTGGGGAAGAGGGGGCAGAACCACACAGATGGCAAACAGTGGCAGTGGCGGGGGCGGGGCCAGCTGCCAGTAGCCAGGGGAAGGAAAGCTCCAATAGGACCTGATCGCCCGCCAGGCTAAGGAACTCTACCTGAGGGGTCCCAGATCATGAGAGGGTATAGGCCTGGCTGAGGGACACCCCCCTTCCCTCCTATGCACAAATTTCATGCACTATGTCTCTAGTTTGTGGAATAAACTCTGCCATGCAATGAGTAGCTGAAGGTTAGGTTACTTATTACTGCTTTAGGCCTGGCTAGACCTGCCCTACTTCTCAGAAAAGTTTGAGGTAAACTTCACTATTTGCCAGTCTCTTTTCAGGCTTAGAAACTGGAGGAGCATCTTGTTTTAAGCTTTGCGATAATTCAGTAGTTGAGAAATTTAGATCTAAAAAGCCCTTTAAATCTTAAGTACCTGGAAATCTATAAGAAAACCATTTATCACCAAATGGGGTCAATGTCATCAAGATGAAACTACTGTCAATAACACCATGTAGCATTGGTGTTATTGAACTAGAGCTATTTATTGTTTCCTGTAGATGAGAGTAGTCTGGGCATGGTGGGTGCAGAAGGCAGAGGGATATTCAGAGGCATGTCCCTGGGGGTTGAGGGGTAGGGGCTGTAGAGAGAGTTTATGTTCTTGATAGAATTTGAAGCATAAATTAAAATTATCCAGGGCAACTGTTGTCTCTCTTCTCCATTCAGAACTCAGAATTACCCAAGATTTTACTTGGACCTGCTAAACAAAGGAGAGCATGGATCTACCGACCATGACAAAAGTCTCCATCTGGAAATTTATACCTTTGCCATTGAAATTATAATTAATCAGTTCCAAATACAGATAAGCATATGAGTTATTGAGAAAGAATAAGTAAAACCATCCAACATCCAAATCCCTCAGATATTCCAGTCAGTCTTCACATGCCTCAATATTAGGGAAAAAAAATACAACATAACTCAGGCATTCACTTAAATAAGACAGATGCCACATAAGCCCCTAAGTTCCATAGTCTTCAAATTGTGTCCATTCATTCCAAGTAAAGCCATGAGGTGCTCACATCTGTAGAGTATAAACCCCACTGCAAACCTCTAACACATAATACCTTCATTCACATTCCTTGCCTTGGGACCCATGCCACACTTTCATTTTCAAACATTAGAAGTTATCGTACTGCCCTAACCGGTTTCGCTCAGCGGATAGAGCGTTGGCCTGTGGACTCAAGGGTCCCAGGTTTGATTCCAGCCAAGGGCATGTACTTTGGTTGCAGGCACATACCCAGTAGGGAGTGTGCAGGAGGCAGCTGATTGATGTTTCTCTTTCATCAATGTTTCTAACTGTCTATACCTCTCCCCTTCTCTCTGTAAAAAATCAATATAAAAATATATTTTTTTGAAGTGTAATTTTTAAAAATAAAACGACCACAAATCTTCCTACTACCAGAACTGTACAAAAAATGGATGGGACCAAAAGAAGTAATTGTTTATTCAGGACAAAAAGAAAACCTGTGGTGCT